AAGGTAAGGTGAGGACGGCGCGCTCGCAAAATCGCTCCTGTCCCACGCGGTGCAAAATGCCAAAACACGCGATGTCGTCAACGTGTTAAATCGTATCACCTGTATCACCTGTCGTCCCGTTGATCATCGAATTGCTCGAGCGGGCGCCAGCAACGTCTCCATTCGTCCCTGTCGCGTGCAAGAGTTGTCCAGTGGACCCTCCTCGCTCGAGGGACACGAAGTCCTTCATTCCTTTCGTTCAGAGCTTTCGTGAAGAAGTCTGACCATCGGGCCGGCGGTCGTCCAGGTGTTCGTTTGACGTCCCGAGGGATCCAGTCGGTAACCGCTCTGGTCCAACGGTCATCGCAAAATCGCATGACGTGTCCGGCCCACCTTATCTTCGATTCCTTGGCGAAAACGGCAGCGTCCCTGATCTTCGATCGTTGGCGTAGTTCGGCACAGTGCCGAACTCAAGTCGAATGGACCCAACTTAATATTAAAGAGCGCATTTCATTCTATAAGAAAATCTTCATAGTGGCCACCTACGTGGACGGCATCAGAAAATTTGCCCTGGAAACATGGTGCACTGGTCGAGCTCAATGGGGTCTTCGAAGGATCGTGTACCATAACGACCTTTACTGAAAAGCGAGTTTCGAGGGGGTTTGCATAGTGGGAGCTAATGTCTCTAGAAAACTATCCAACATTAAATCGATTCACGAAATTGCGTAAGAGCTTCAGGCTGAAGCACTTACGGTAGCCTCCTTGAGCTTGACGACGATGACAGATGACGTCATGTCGTTCTGTCCCTCTGTCGTTCTGTCCCTCTGTCGTTCTGTCGTTCTGTATGTCTGTCACGAAATTCCCTAGCTCCTCGGGATCCGCCTGGAGGGACCGGGTCAAGTGTGGGATGGGTGGGCAGGGTCTCACGTAATACAAAACACACATCAGCTAAGCGGAGCCCCGCCCACAGAGGGCGTGGCGTGCGTCGAAATGAATTGTACCAAAGACCAAGATTTCGATTTCAGTGAAAAACGACCTCGAAACTGGGCCAAAAAGTGGGCTAAGGTGTGCATTGGTAAGTAACATCGAATTAGGGAGACCCACCCCCGGTGGGCGGGGCGTTCTCTAAAAAAGCAGTGCTTTATGAAAAATTTCATAACTCGGTTGGGAGAAAGCCTACAGAGCAGAAACAATTTGGTGTAAGGGAGCAATGTCTAAGGTGTTTCCTGCATACATGACGTGGGCGGAGGCCCGCCCAGAATGGGCGGGGCGCGCTCTGAAGTGTACAGCATTTTCTACAAGCCCTCATAATTCGGGTCGGGGAAGTCTTAAAGAGCCGGAAAAAGGTGGATAGAGGTGTATGGAGGAGTGGAGGCCAGCTATCAATGGTGGGCGGGCTTGACCAAATCCTACTTACTATAAAGCGCTTCGTCTGTCGTCTGTCGTCTGTCGTCTGTCGTCTGTCGTTCTGTCCCTCTGTCTGTCGTTCTGTATGTCTGTCACGAAATTCCCTAGCTCCTCGGGATCCGCCTGGAGGGACCGGGTCAAGTGTGGGATGGGTGGGCAGGGTCTCACGTAATACAAAACACACATCAGCTAAGCGGAGCCCCGCCCACAGAGGGCGTGGCGTGCGTCGAAATGAATTGTACCAAAGACCAAGATTTCGATTTCAGTGAAAAAACGACCTCGAAACTGGGCCAAAAAGTGGGCTAAGGTGTGCATTGGTAAGTAACATCGAATTAGGGAGACCCACCCCCGGTGGGCGGGGCGTTCTCTAAAAAAGCAGTGCTTTATGAAAAATTTCATAACTCGGTTGGGAGAAAGCCTACAGAGCAGAAAACAATTTGGTGTAAGGGAGCAATGTCTAAGGTGTTTCCTGCATACATGACGTGGGCGGAGGCCCGCCCAGAATGGGCGGGGCGCGCTCTGAAGTGTACAGCATTTTCTACAAGCCCTCATAATTCGGGTCGGGGAAGTCTAAAGAGCCGGAAAAAGGTGGATAGAGGTGTATGGAGGAGTGGAGGCCAGCTGTCATTGGTGGGCGGGGCTTGACCAAAGTGGGCGGAGTTTGCGACGAAAATTTATAACTCGGCTCCAAGAAGCTCCGGAGGCTGGGGAAAAGGTGGATGAGGTGGGTGGAGGAGTGGAGGCCAGCTGTCATGGTGGGCGGGGCTTGACCAAAGTGGGCGGAGTTTGCGACGAAAATTCATAACTCGGCTCCAAGAAGTCCCGGAGGCTGGGAAAAGGTGGATAGAGGTGGGTGGAGGAGTGGAGGCCAATGTCATTGGTGGGCGGGGCTGACCAAAGTGGGCGGAGTTTGCGACGAAAATTCATAACTCGGCTCCATGAAGCTCCGGAGGCTGGGGAAAAGGTGGATAGAGGTGGGTGGAGGAGTGGAGGCCAGCTGTCATTGGTGGGCGGGGCTGACCAAAGTGGGCGGAGTTTGCGACGAAAATTCATAACTCGGCTCCAAGAAGTCCCGGAGGCCGGGAAAAGGTGGATGGAGGTGGGTGGAGGAGTGGAGGCCAGCTGTCATGGTGGGGGGCTTGACCAAAGTGGGCGGAGTTTGCGACGAAAATTCATAACTCGGCTCCAAGAAGTCCCGGAGGCCGGGAAAAAGGTGGATGGAGGTGGGTGGAGGAGTGGAGGCCAGCTGTCATCGGTGGGCGGAGCTTGACCAAAGTGGGTGGAGTTTGCGACGAAAATTCAGAACTCTGTTCCAGAAGGTCCCGGAGAGTGGGGAAAAAAGAAGATATAGTTGGGTGGGAAAGTGGAGGTCAAAGGCCAGTGGTAGGCGGGGCTTGGCCAAAGTGGGCGGAGTTTGCGACGAAAATTCATGACTTGGCTCCAAGAAGTCCCTGGAGGCCGCGGAAAAGGTGGATGGAGGTGGGTGGAGGAGTGGAGGCCAGCTGTCAATGGTGGGCGGGGCTGACCAAAGTGGGCGGAGTTTGCGACGAAAATTCATAACTTGGCTCCAAGAAGTCCCTGAGGCCGCGGAAAAGGTGGATGGAGGGTGGTGGAGGAGTGGAGGCCAGCTGTCAATGGTGGGAGGGACATGACCAAAGTGGGCGGAGTTTGCGACGAAAATTCATAACTCGGCTCCAAAGAAGTCCAGGAGGCTGGGAAAAAGGGAGTAGAGGTCGGCGAAGGAAAGGAGGTCAAATGCTATTAGTGGGTAGAGCACGCACCCAAGTGGGCGGAGTTTGCCAAAAGTGTCGCAATTCGGTTGCAAGAGGTCCTAGAGATAGGGGAAAACGGGGTTAGAGGTTGGTGAGGGAAAAGAGCTCAACTGCTATCACTGGGTAGAGCACGCACCTAAGTGGGCGGAGTTTGCCAAAAGTGTCGTAATTTGGTTCCAAGAGGTCCCAGAGACCGGTGAAAAAGGGGGTAGAGGTCGGCGAAAAGAAGGGAGCCAAATGCTATTGGTCGGCAGGGCACGCACCGAAGTAGACGGAGTTCGCCACGAGATTTATTGTCCGGGCCGAGGACCGAGAAAAATAGGATAATGGTTGACGAAGAAAGAGCGCATAGAATTTAGCGGAGAATTTCAGATATTCGTATTGTATCAAGCCAAATTTGAAATTTTTCGTCGCACCATCAAAATTCGCCACAGATCTGTGTTGCGCGCGCAATGCGTGCGGCGCCAACTGGTATCAAGATAAGGGGGCAGTGGACAAGAACCCGCGTTTACTCATAGAGGTACATTTGGGGAATCCTTTGGTGAGGAACTTCTGTCAACGACGGCAATGTCTGCGAAGAGATAGGGCCGAAGCGCGACATGAGCAAATCGTCTTTTTTTTTGCCCCCCTTCCTTCCTATGCCATTCCATTTCCACTTGGTTCATTTGGTTCGAATCAAGGAAGATGTGATTAAATCCTCTTCGGGTTTGTAGAGGGGTCATTTTCTTTTGAAAGAAAAATTCGGAGAATTTTGCTTCTCACCCAATCCCACTTATTGTCTAGTCCATTTCTTCATATCTGTGTAAGCTTCAGTGCATTTTGAACAACCGCTCTTTACGCACTTTTTGCAATAGCTCGATGAGGCTAGAAGCATCATAAGGATCAGAGCCTTCATTGTATTGTCAAAAACCTGGAAAAGTGGATCCATTAGGTTGACTAATACGAACCTCACTTTCCACACACAATGTTGAGAGATGGTGGAAGCCAACGTACTCATCTGTAGTGATCGAAAGTATCCAAGGAGAGGCAAGTCGCGCGACGAGAAGGCTCGAACGCTGACGGGTCAGCGGACGAGTCGCAGGCCATGCTGTGTGGTGTAGGACGTACTACGGTACTATTTCGTTCAAAGGAGGATTCCACGATACGATCGAAGGTCGAAGAAGGGGAACTGCTAAGTGGAGAGGCGATTTAACATGGCTGACCCTTGGCGTAGTTAGGTACGCCCACCAACTATCTAACCACTCGCCACAAGTCTATACGCTGCGAATGATCAGACAGCAGAGAGCGTTTTGCTGAAAGATCTGGCGCAAAGGTGAGAGTCGCATTAACGCAGAAATCAACGGGCAAAGGAAGGAGCCCCATTTCCCGGGTTCTGAGCCGTTTCTCACAGTTTTTCCTTCTTTCTTCTACCATTCACCATCCCTTAATTTAATTTAAAATGGATTCCAACAAAAACAATTAGCTTGAACAGTCTCTTCCTTGAGTGGCTTTCCTTCACAAATCCTTCCAGTACGACGGGCAGCGATGAGACCCACCTTCTTTCCTGCACTTGCGTCTCTTCGGACCGTTGAGGGATGACCAATATGTTGATGGTTACCTCCTCCGTGGGGAAGCTCAACGGGGTTCATGGCAACACCTCTTACTCGTGGCCAGCTGTTTCTCTTGGCCTTATACTTATGGTAGGCACGTCTCAGCCTTGAGCATAGGCTCATCAGTACGACCACCACCAGCAACCAATCCAATCATGGCACGGTTGGCTGACTGGATGACTTCTTCGCTCCAGAAGGGAGACGAATACGGGTCTTCCTGGTCTCGTTATTGTGGGCAATCACGGTTGCGTAGTTACCAGAGCATTTTGTCAGCTTTCTCTGTCATCACATTTTCCTGCAACATTTTAGATGGTAATTCCTTCTGGGAGGCTTCCAACAGGTACGATCTTTCCAACTTGAATGCTAGCTTTCGAGCCGCATACACAAACTGTCCTATGTACATCCCTTCAGCAGCAATAACGGTGTTCTTTACGGTCTTATATTTGCATGGATCGCGCAAAGCAATGATGGCCAGAGGGGCACCACGTCCAGGATCGTGGATAATGTCCTATCCTAGACGCACCAGCACCCCCACCCCCAAGCCGCGGATATAGCCGTGACGCACTCAGCCATGTCAAGAGGTCCGCAGTTTGAGCAGCTTCCCTGTAGCAGCAAAAAGAACCAACCGATGTCAAGCAAATATACGCGCAACACTACGCAGGGCCGATCTCCAGATATAGCCGTCGTGCGGCTCGCATCGCGAAGTAAATCAACTCGATCCCAGCAAACTAGTGACCCATGCACAAACGGCAACGCGCGGACGCTAGCGAATCACGCCTCGAAAAAACACGGCCTCACGTAGCAGAATCGCACGCGATTAACAAGGCACAAAGTCTGACATAGGCCTTACGATGCTTGTTATGCGACTTGAAGATACCTCCAGCTCCTTTACACTGGACTCGGATCCGACGACCCATTGCTTGTGGACCGCTTTTCTATCGTAAATTGTGCCGTAATATAGCCCTCTAGACCGACACTCATACACCGACCACAAACCCCCCCACCCATTCCATTCTCAATACAAAAAAGTAGCTCAGTCGCTTTGCCTCATAGTAGCAAAAAGAACGGAATATAAGCGTTGGTTTTGATAATTATGATAACTAGTTGGACAATGAAATGGACATTGAATTCCCGTCAAAACGTCCACAACTCTTAGTGGCGTGGAGCCAACACTTGCAAGCGTGTCGAGCGCGTGAATGTGAGCTGACTTGATGTTGGATCTTCCCATAAACTTTGACGTGGATCCGCACCTGCCATGCACTCCGTCATAAAAGCACTTCTGATTCCACCCATCGTGGCAGATTCCGTTTCCACGTGAGCATTCCCAGAAGCTGTTTCTCTTGGGACTCCATATTTTCGCTCCGCACTTTGCACACGCTCTTCAATGGCGCCCACAAGACCCACCCACTCTCTAATATCTTACTTCCTAGCGTTAGTGGCCCAAAAAGCTTCGCAAGATCCAGCCACATTCCTGATAAATACCCCGTCGCCCACATCTATGTCTCACTACCACAAGGCATCTATCTACTAGCGGCCATAACAGCACATGCAACTCAAGAAGACATCTCCTCACCATACCCTTCTTCGACACTACCCCTGCTCGCTCGTATTCCGGCTTCGAGAAGTCACGATGCGTCATATCCTTGTCCGTGCGTTCCTAGCCTGGCCTCTCCTTCACACACTGCCCCATCTACTATCCTTCAATCAAGAGCAATCGTTCGCCCGCCTACACCTTCACAGCCGGATGACCGCTCTGATATCCTAGTTCCTAACTCTGTCAATCGCGTCCAAGCGCAGACCGATCTCAATGGAGTACAGCTGCCTTTCCTGATTCTTGGATTCTCTAGTATTACAAGACGGTCGCCACTCCGAGCTGCTATAAGCATCGCAAGCTTTTTAACGACTCTCTTGAAGCGCTCTGGAGCAATTTCGATCGCAAGGCATCCGAGTGACTTTCCTTCATTCACTACAGACCGCAATATCACTCCTTGTCCCCATATCCACTGCTGTCCCCACAGGCAGCTAGATCGCTTCCAAGGTAATTGGAGGTTCCCCCCCACTCATTATTCGAGACTTTTATCCCCACCCAATGCCGCGTACTAAATACAATCGAGAAACTTCTGTCCCAAAACACACACCACCCCACCCAACTCACACTGCCCTTTCAGCTGAGGACGCCCACACACCATTCTCGCAACAGAAAAGCATTTCCACGCGATCCATTCGCTGACACCGCGTACGTTTTACAGTTCCATAACTCCGTGCTGTCCGCCACCTGCCAATGGGTTTTTCAGTGGCCCCTCTATGAGCCCCTTCACCAGGACATCTAGTGTCAAGAGTAAGAGGAATAGGGTCACAGCTTACCTTGATGCACCCCAAACGTATGGCTGTCTCTGCCCCGTCGTACACATTCTTCACTGGAGAGATCAGGTGTTCAAAGAGCAACACAATCTATCTTTCACCTGACAGCTCATCAACCACATAGGTACCCTAACAAAAAACCCCAACCGACAAAACATCACCACGAAAACAACAACAAAGAAACAGAAAAAAAACCAAACAACCGAAACAAAGGCACCAAAGACAAAACGAGAGGCAGCGATAAGAGGTAAGAAATACACGTCCGCGACACTGTCATCCAGGTCCGAAGGAAAGCTAAAGGTTAGCAGACCAAAGAGCTCACGCAGTTTTTTATCATGCTTCATCCCAAAACACACTTTCCTTGCTATGAAAAAGATGGCATCCGTTGTGGAGACCTTTCGGGCATGAACCCGAACTGTTCCTGGGAGATGGGACCAGCTCCCGCAGTTTCGAGTCGACCAGTCGCTCGTACAGCTTCATTGTATGAGCAGTCAACTTGATCCCGCGGTAGTTGGAGCAGTCCATCGCGTCAACCCTTCTTCTGTTGAAGATTGACACGATAGTACTTATTGCCCAGGTGTCTAGCATCTTTCCTTCTTCAATGACGGTGTTTATAAGGCGGTGAGCCATCCTATCCCGTACTCTCCAAGCGCCTTCCATGCTTCCATGGCACCCCATCTGACCGACCGACTTCCCACCTTCATCTCCCTTACTTTTCGACGAACCTCACCTTCTGTCCAGAGTGAGATGAGGCCAGACGTTGCCTATGCTTGTAGAGTGTCCTTGTGGGGAACCTCCACCTAAGAGGTGCCCTGTAGTGCTCTTCCAAACATCCCCTTGACTTCAGTAAGCTTCCTCATATAGGGCACGAAGTGCTGGTCCTTCACGCACCCACGCTAGTGTCTTGCTTAGCCCGATGTCGGGACCTAGCCAGTCTGAAAATAAACTTTTGTACATTCCAGCATTCTGACTTCTCGTACAAGTGTCCATCTCCGTGTTCTTCGCCTTGACGACGACAGCCTTAGCAAGCCTTTTGCAACTAGTAGACAGGAGGTTCTCTGGACTCCGTGTCTTCTGCGGCTTCTTTCTTCCCTTCATGACTCTCTCGGCTCCCTCGTTTCAGGACCACCTTATCCCCTCTGATTCAACCTCGTGTCTCACCCAGTACCTCCCTGGCACATGCAAGATGGTTCCGGTCGCATTGGTCCAAGTCCGCTGCATTGGCCCGTCAGGATCTGGGAGAAAAACTGTCATTCTCCTTCGTTTGAGGTCAACTTCTCCGCAACTTCTACCACCGAATTCACCGCTCGGTTTCAACCGATCTCTTCTAGGGGATACCTATGCAATGTCCTGCCAGAGGGGCGTGTACTGTGGAGCCAATTCTTTCCCAGGAAGAACATTGATGTCTTTCACAGTTCAGTTTCATGAGCACGTGGTCGATCTCCATTGCTGTAGGTTACCTTTTGAGTCTCCCTTTTCGCGAAGAACGTGCTGCAGATTGCCAGATCGTGGGCCGTAGCCAGGTCCAGGACCCTCTCTCCCTCGGCGTTCCTCACTCCTATCCCTCTACCTCCGTGCACCCTTTCCAGGCCTCTTCTGTCACTGCCGACGTGACCATTCAGATCACCTGCTATGGTGAGGTAATCGCCTTCCGGAATCGATCTGATGGCATCGTCAAGGCTCTGGTAGAACTCAACCTTCTCGCTCTCAGGGCATCCGTCTGCAGACGTTATTATCCAATACCCCACTTTCGTGTCTATCCTCACAGCCATGATCCGATCGCTGATCCTGTTCACTGCGGAGACATAGTCCTTGAGCGACTCCGCTACCGCTATGGCCACGCCGTTCCGCTTGGTGTCTTCCCCATTGTAGTAGAGTTTGACACCTTCCCCGAATTTCCTGGGACGGTAGTAAAGTCTTCTAAATCAGCCAAGTCTACAGTTGGCCAATAGGTCGCGTTGACGTCGCCTTCGTCCGCACCTAAAAAGCATAGGGAAAAGGCGGGAAACTCGCGCTGACCTGCCGCAATGGGCGAGGTCTATGCAACATCTTAAGTGGCCAATGTATTAGGTGGCACCTTGCCTAGACGGCGAACTCGGCAGAGAAAGGGGAAAGTGTGTGGAGATTGCAGAGGGTCATGCAGAGGGCGACTAAAATGTACCCCTGAGTACACCGTCTATCTGTGTCTCTTCAGTCCTCACACACTTCTCCTTTCTCTGCACGTCATGCATTGGTCGCATTGAGCGTCTCTGTGTCCCTGCCATGCGCAGAGCGCAGGGAAGAAAGGGGTTCGTGGAAGGTGTTGAGTGTGGGCAGCAAGAAAGCCACTGGAGCTATCGATAATATTGATAACTTTCTGCCAATAAGGTGATCAGCTGTCCCCTGCAGTGTTCCACTTATTGATCGTGTTATAGCTCCTTCCTTGGTCCTGGGAGCATTTCACCCCTGTACAATCATCTAGGCCATGATCCCACGTCCAAACACGTCGATTGGCGCAGTGGGTTCGTTCCTTGTTGACATTGGATCGCTCGCGGGATCAATTCTCCATGATACTGTATGTTTGCAACCCTCATAGGTTACTACCTTGCTTCTACAATTCTTTCAAAGTAACCCAGCAATGCTTTGTGGTGCAGTGGCAAACGTCGCGCTCATGGGCGCATTACATGGTTCAAGTCCATGGCGACGCGACTTTTGCTAGGAATGTAGTGAAGTTCGCCATTCAGAGCGGGGTCATCTGGCTGTCTCGCCTTTCATTATTCACCCGTTTACGGCCGTAGTTCACCACCTTTAACTCCCAGTCTATGGCACATTACTACCGTCCCTGGCGTTGACTCCTTTCCATCGCGTCTCCTGAAGGCATGGGACTTGAATTTTTCTGCGCGTCATCAGATCAGCAACCTCTCGGGACCTTCCAGTTAGCGACCCTACGTTCACAGTTCCAATTCGAACTAGCTTCTTTGGCCGAGGCCGTTCCCTCCTCGGTAGCCCTCGCATACTGACCACAGAACTCGGGCGGGGGTCTCTGCGCGCCACTTTCGGGTGACGTCCTAGCTTTATCGCTGATACCTTGGCAAAATCGTTTATGTGACTGGGCTATTCATCAGCCGGCCCTGTCAACCTGGGCCTGACGCTGGTACTAGAACCATT